CCTATCTATTTGTTGTCTGTTATCTTTAAGTATACTAGCTGATCTAATATCCAAAAGATCAATAAGATAATGCAATTTAAATTCTCCAGATGATCATAGATTGTTTAGAGAAAAACAAAAGGACAAATGAATATATGTGTATAATATTAAGAATTATTCACCCTTTTTTTAATTCTAAATTAGAACATATTTTTCATACGAAATAATTAGATGATATATGTTTGACAATGGTTAGATTTATTAATCTTGAAATTTATTATGTGACTGAAGAATAAAATAGTGAATTATTTCTATTTTATATCTACAGTTATTAAAACATCATTTGAATAATTAGTGTAAAAGCATTACATTATTCTTTTTAATCAAAGCTAATTCTTTATCTTTTGTTTTTGATTTGTCTATATCAACACAATAGATCCGTTATAATAATGAAAGCTATGCGAGAAGTATTAACAATGAGGATGAGTTTTCACTTGTTATTTTCTTTTCTATGTCGAAGAGAAAAGAAAGCGATAATGGAAACAAGAGAATATGCAAACGGTTTTTTCTCTCTCTTTCCCTCTCTCATGCTTTTATTGTACGATCCTTGATTGAAGCAATACTCTTTCTTATGCTATTATTTATCATTGTAGAAACAAGCGTCTTTTCTTTTTTTATATATAAAATCTATTTCTCATCAGATTATTGACAGTCAATATTAATGATAAATACCATTCATCGATTCTTTACAATCGACATAATAACTATGCATGTAAGTACTCTTATACAAAAATTTTCTTATTATTCCCACACTTATAAACAAATATGTAATAAAACAGGTTAATATTTGATTTCTTAGTTTTAATCGAGGATGACTTTTTTTAATGAAATTCTTATTATTTTCAAATATATATGAAACCATAGAAAATAAAGTAATAATTCATTAGTATGAATAAAAATCATGCACTTACATTTTATTTTGTATTAAATCATTTTGTTTTCACAAATCGATGACTACATTGTTCGATCTAATCGAATAATATCGTAGACAATGACAAAGACATAAGTTAATAACAAGAGACGGAGAGTGAAAGAAAAATTTAGTTTAGAGTTCGTCAATCATTATTCACAATCGAAAGATAGAAATCGTATAGTGATTGTAGTATCGAAAAAATTATAAAGAATAAGGTTAGACTTCCGATAGACAAATGACTTCCTTCTCTTCCTGTTGATCAAAGATGTCATACGTTGGAATTATATTAATGAATAACATATACTATTAAATTTTAGCTTATTCCTTTCATTAATGTACTCACATTTATATAATTGTATCGACTTTGACATTAGAAATCATTTGAAGAAAAATTAATCATAATCCTTGTAGTACAATATGTTAGGTCTGTTTAACTGTGCGACAATCATTCGAAGTATAACCCAACAATTTGAATATTTCAAAAAAAAAACAATTATTTTTATTATATTTTTCTAGATAATATAGAAGACAAATTATCTAATCGGATTTTTGTTGGTTATTTCGAAAAATCATTCTGATCATTAGTCGATAAACAACAAAAGAAAAAATAATTTATATATTGTATTGAATATAGTAAGTATAATATAGTTTTCTTTACATGTTCATTTGATTTTACATTCAAATCTTATATGTGACAAAGTCATTTTCTTCTTGATACTTCATTCGTTCGTCTTAAGAGATTGACCCAAAAAATGATTATTATTTGCCCATCGGCAAATTATTGAGACGATAATTTTTAATCTGAGATTTATATATAATGTAAGAATTCACTTGATAAAAAAAGGTCATGGCTGTTAGTAACCCTATTCAGTAATTCAAGTATACTCGGATATCATTTAAATTCATAGAAAACCTACATTTCCATTAGGTGATATTATTAACAATTAAATTTTATTTTTCTTTCAATAAAGAATATATATATATTCACTTATAAAAAAAACATACAATGCATTATCTTAATAAATATTTCCGTTTTTTAATGAGAGAGAAAAAAAATTCTTTTGTTTTCTTTTTCTTCTATTCTATACTATAAAAAAAAAGCATGATTTGTTTAACTTCTTAGTAATACCAATAAAATAAAAGACATAATTACTTATAAAAACTTATTATCGTTCAATAACGCGATTCTATTCATAGTATTTACAAAACATTAAATTATAATTTCTTCGCCATATTATTGATTAAAATAGAAATGTAAGTTGAATATTAATGTCTATATTAAATAAATAAATTCAAAATTTTTATCCTCATCTAGTTTTTAATTACTCTTGAAATAACTTTTTTTTTCATAAAAAAAGGAGAAGACAGAATAATAACTCATCACAGAAATCTTTTAACAAGCAACAATATAAATTACTCATTGATATTTCGAGTGTTATATAAGAAGAGAAAAAAAACGAAGTACGATAATATTAATTATTCTTCTCCGTTAGATTCTATTCAGTATAAAGAATATTAGATGAGAGTGAATGAAATTTTATCAACATGCAATATCCATGAGTGAAATAATAAACCAATTTCGTGTTAGTTTTATTTTTCTTTCTATAAATAATATTAATTTGTTTTTGTTTATAATTATTATTTAACTTGTCATCGATTATTTCGAAAAGAAAACAAAACATAAATCCTCGATTAATTCAATCAATATGATTTCTTAGATATATATATATATATATCTTTATCTATTTTTTGAGATTTCCTTCTAACACCCTATGGACAGTGACATCGTGTTAATTTAATATATTATGTTAGATAGAGAAAAAAAGAAGAAGAAAATTAGGGATGCGAAGAAAAAAAAGGAAACGCGAGCATTATTTTCTTTTTTATTTATTGGTATTGGTTTAAAGACATGACGCGTCATTTTTGTGTTGTAGACATTGATAATATGATAGAATAAAGACTTATTTTTTCGAAAACAAAAATTAAATATTGGTTTAAATTGGTCTGTATTGACATATGTTTTTTTTATAGGTTAAACAATGATAAAATGGGGTGAGTTTTGGTCTTATTAAGTTACAATTATTAATGGTTTAAGTGACTTTACATTAACAAGAATAAGCCAATGACTCAAACAAGCTTTAATTATCAAATAGCATCATTAAAACCATCATCAAATATCTCCTTAACATCAACAATGTCGACAATACTTTCCAATCAAAATCATATTCATATACTTAAATGGTCTGTACGAATTATTGGTGGTTTATTAATAACCGTCGGTGGAATTGGTAATACACTTTCGGCATTAACACTTAGTCGAAAAAAATTACGAGGACAAGTTACATCTATATATCTTATTGCTTTAGCATTATCCGATCTTGGTAAAAAAACAAAAAAGCCCATATTATTATTATTTCTAACATTTGATTTTTCGTTTTAGGTAATGTTTTCTTTAGTGTATTAAATTTTTATTTAATTCGATTTGATTCTAATCAAAATATGCGTTTATATAGCAATATATCCTGCAAATTCCATATATTTTTTACATATTATTTTATTAATTTATCACCAACATTACTTGTTGCTGTTAGTGTACAACGTTATCTTACTATAGCTAAACATCATTACTCAAAAAGATATTGTACCGCTAAAAATGCTTATATAGTTATTGGTTTAATTTGTTTCTTATCTTTGTTTCTTCAATTACATTGGAGTATATTTTATGAACTTCAATTAATACCTAATAAACAACAAAATTTAACATCATTTAATCATACGATAATATATCGACGTATATGTAATATATCATCAAAATATCCATCGTATCTATGGTTTCGTTCAAATATATTAGGTTATATTCAATGGTTTTTCTTTACATTATGTCCATTTGTAATAATGTTAATACTTAATTCTTTAATATTAAAAGTAATTGCATCAGCACGTCTTATACAACAACGTATGAATCAAAAAAATCAACGTAAAAAAGCTAAACAACGAAATATGACAATAATGCTTTTATCTATTTCATGTGTATTTATATTATTAACAGCACCAGCATCAACATTTATGGCATTTGGGCATTTATTTAAAAATTTACATGGACAAAAATCTCAATCATTATGGACAATGTTTTCATTAATTTATTATGCAAATACAGCAGCAAATTTTATATTATATTTTTTAACTGCAAATGTTTTTCGACAAGAAGTTCGTGTTATGGTTTTATCATTTCCTGGATGTTCAAAAATATTTCCCGAGCAATTTGAATTATTACGAGCTAATACACTACCTGCTGGTGGTGTTGGTAGAGGAGAAGGAGGAAGAAGATTTGCAACAATACGTAAAACTCAATATACAACTGTTCCTTTAGTTACATCAATATTATTACCTTCTTGTAACGAAGAAATGAATAGAAAATCGAGTACAAATAGTTTCTTAAAAGTTAATACAAATAATCAATTTTTAAATGTAACTAATACATGTAATAGTAGTAGTGGAATATCATACGAAGAAGATTCGAAATTATAAGTTTATTTATTTATTTATTTTTTTGTTAATTGAATATAACATCAAATGTCATGATTTTTTGTTTCTTCTCTTCTTTTTGTGAAAAATAATATATATATATTTATTTTCTAGACAATTAATAAAGAAGGAAGAAAGAATTGTATTTTAACAAAAGTTTCTAGATATTCTAAAGATAATAAATAATTCAAATATATTTAATAGTTAATCAATAGATAGATCTATCCTAAGGGAAACTTACTTAAATATATATATATATATATTTATAACTTTCTTTGACATAGAATCTATCAGGTAATACACGAAAATAAATAATATAGACATTTAAAGTACACTGTTTCCTTTTTACTTACATGTCATGATAGAACTTTGTGTCCTCTAGCGTTTTGCTAAAATATTCTGATGTCACATATACATATTTTTTTGTTCTATAGACTTCTTAGGATAAGAAATTATATCTGTGTAACTAAAAATAGTTTGGAGAATTATTTATTTTTCTTGTGAATAAAAAAATAAAAATTAAATCTTTAAACGGATAGATGGTGTATAAAATTTAGTTGCTATTGATGATGTTTGTTCTTTATCATGGCTTGATGAAGGTGCTACTCGTACTCGTTCGATACTATTTGAAATAACTCGAAAATATCGAATATTTGATCCTCGAGATCTAAAATAAAAAAATTATAATTTGTTTTTTTTCCCCAAAAGATAAATTTAATGAAATACAAACCGTAATTTAGGTAATTTTAATGTATGATACCGTTCCCAATCTTCAATAAAATATGATGAAAGACGTGGTGGTAAACTAGCTAAACAGTTGTATACTTTCAGAAAGCCCATAATATCCGGTTCACTTCGACATCTTTTTTATATAAAAAAAACTATATATATTAAGAAATAAAATTTCTTTTTCTCGAATACCTATTCAACAGTTTCCTTCGTCCTTCTGGAATATAAGTTAAAAATCCAAGTGCAACTGATGCATTACCAATAGTAATATCATTTGGAGACGAAAATAAATTACATAAATAATCTATTGCATCAACTGCTATTAATGATTGTGGTACACCTAGAGAATAAAATTATAGTTATTAAATATAAACTAAAAGAAATAAATAATATTACCGGTATGTTTATGTATTTCCGAACCTAGAAATAAATCATTATTTAGAAAAACCAAAAAATTGAATATTAACTATCTAACCTGATTTCATATGTGCAAGTCTAGCTAAACATTCAGCAGCTAATGATTTAATTTTATCTATTTCAGATAATCGAAGTAGATCAATAAGAATTCCACATCCAATAGCTATATTAACTGATCGTTTTTGTTCAAAAATTAAATTCGATAAAACAACAATCTATATAAATATAATTTTTTATTAATAAAATATTTCTATAAACAAACTTGAAATGCAGCTGTACATCGTATATAATCATCATTTGTTTGAAGAAATTTTTCAAAATAATCAAATGAAAGTTGATAATGTTTACTAAGATGTGATTGTATATGAGAATTATTGTATATAAATGTTGCTAAAGCATTTGATGCTTTTAATTGTACATCAGTATTAGTTGATTGTGTTAGATAAATAATATGTAAATAAGAAAAATCTAATGTATTTTCAATAACTGTTGAACATTCATTATTAGCTAAAAAAATAAAATATTCCTTATATCAGAATCTTATTAAATCTGTCTATAGAATTGGATACAATTCAACAAAGCATATCACTATTGACATTCGAGTTTATTCTAAAATTAGTTACAACTGAAAGTCAGTATTTAGTCTAATGTTTTATTTATGTCTACAAGAAATGCATGACTTATCAAGCATCGTATTAATAATAAATGAAAAAAGTAGGTGTCTTGATTTCTATATATAGATGTACTACTCAATGAAAAAGCATACATACTCAAAGCAATACAAGCTAAACATTGAGCTGCTTCAACTTGAACAATTTCATTTTTTGCATGCATTGTTAATGCGACAACTAATTTAATACCATCATTATTAAGAATAATTTCTTGATTCGTTCGATTTGCAACAAAACCTGGCGCACAACATATTAATTGTAAAGTTTTTAAAACACTTAAAACAAGCATTTCATCATTTAATTTAAGAAGACGAATAAGATAAGGAATTCCTTGTGCACGACTTATTTCTTCTTGTGTATTCATTTTAATTGTTGGTGCACCTTGAGTTAATTCATAAAGTGCATCTGTTATAGGTAATAAATGTTCATCAGATTTAATCATATAGAAACTAATTAATTTCCTAACACCAATTTTTGTTGCTACTTCACGTTTACGTGTTGAACTTGTTTCACATAATGTCCATAATGTACAAACAATAACAATTTGTAAATTTGACATATTTGTTTTATCTAATAAATTTAATAATTGTTCAATAGCATTTTCACGTAATAAAATTTGTTGTACTTGTTGATTTTTATAACTTAATGCTTGTATAGCTTCAATAGATGCTTGTTGTAATTCTTTTGATGATACTGTTAATGCACCAAGTAAATGTTCACATACACCATAATGTGCAAGAACATTTTGAATCGATTCATTATTTTTAACTAAATGACGAATAAAACGTATAACTGATAATGATAAATTTAAATCAAAATCTTCTAAATAAACATTAACAAGTAATAAAAGAAAATCTTTTGCATTTGAAATTTTTTGTTGATATAGAAATGAATATGATATAATATTTGATAAACAATCAAAATATGAACAAATGATTTGTGATGAATGTTGATTTGTAATAAGTTTTAATAATGATTCCATAAGTCCTTGTTCAACCATTGAATCAATTAATGATTTATCTGTACTAAGAGAATATAATATACGACCGATTAATATTAAAATTTGATCATTTTTTGAACGTGTATGTTTTAATATGGCACTAAATGGATTATCTAATGTTTTAAAATCACTTTTTATTATTGGTACTTCAGTAATTACATTGAATAATAAAATACAAGTATTTAAAAGTATATCATCATTTTTTGTAAAAGAAAATAATTGAATTAATGTTTTTAATAGACCATTTTCAAGCATAGGAGTCCAATATGGACTTATTGAAGAACTATTTAATTCTCGACGAATTAATAATTCAAGCATACGACCACAAATAATACTTTCTTCATCTTTAATCGATATAATTAATTTAAATAAAGATTTCCAAGCATTATATTGATTAGTTATAATAGGATGATCAATAATATAACGAAATGTACGTTCATTTTGTGATAGTGCAGCAATCGCAGCCATATCTAATTATAGAAAAATGTAGTTGACTTCATATGACTCTATTTTTATAATTACCGTGACCGCGAGCATCAATTACATTTATATTCACCGGATATTCAAGAAAACAAGCAATAGTTTCTAATCGACCAGCTGCAGTTGCTAAGAGTAATGGAGTAAATTCATCAATATCATGTGTTGTTGCTTCTAATTGTGAATTAAGTTCATTATGTTTTTCAGCATCTTCTAAGATTCCTTTAATAATTACTTCAAGTCCATTAAAAGTTGCTCGGTGAATAGGTAAATATCCATTATCATCATAGACATTCATTTTAGTAATTTCATCATTTATCTCAACGTTATGCGTTGTTATAGATGAATGCATTGATTTCTTTTTAAACTTTTCAATATCAAAAAAATACAGTAAAATAATTACATTGAACAAATGAATTATTTAATATAAATTCTTACTTAATTGTCTATTGTGTAAGAAAACAAGAATGTACAGTTGTCTGAGCAACCAATGGTTAGAATAGAAGAAGAAGAAGAGGAGAAAATAAAAACAACTTATGTTGCTATCTCAACTTCTTTTTCTTTATATAGACGGAAACAAAGGAGCGAGGAGAACGCGTTGTTGAAAGACGTGGGAAATGAGTGTATATACTTTCTTTTCTTTTCTTTCTTTCAATTTTTTTTCTGTCGTTGAATATTAGTACGGAAAATGAATAGAATTGTAAAAACCATTTGCTTATTTGTGAGCACAATAGCAATCAAGTTAAGATTGACGAGTGAATTGGTATATAAAATTATGATTGTTGAGATTGTCTTGACAAATTAATAGGAAAGAAAATACTTTTTGAATTTTTATCAAGCTTATAAAAATAGATTGTATCTTTTAGCTATTCATATTTCTTTCGAAAATCAATCGATACGATATGACAAAAAATATATTAAATTGAAAATAGTCATTTTTATTGTCATAGTACATTATAAATTAGTTGAATAATATTTTATTTAAACTTTAAAAGCAAAATGCCTGTTTTTTATATCTTTCAAGTAATTTATTCAGAACAAAGTTGAATAGACTTGTTAGAAAAAAAATATAATTTATATTTTATTTCCTTGTTAAGTCTTCGTTAATTATTTAACAACAACAATTTTTTTTCAAGGATATATTGAGTTATTATTTGAGTTACGAACTAGAT